TGTGTGGCTCCTGCGGGGGACAGCACGTGAGTCGAACTAATCCAATTCAAGCTCTATGTGTTAAAACTCGGAAAGGTGTTGAACACCTTTTTTTTTCAGGTTTTCCAGTCGTCGTCGTCCCCCCCCCCCCCCCCCCCCCCCCCCCCGCGCGTGGCCTCCGAACGGACCTCTGCAAGGTGTCGGAGGCGTTCCCACTCTCAGTGCGAGAGTCCAGAGAGGAAAACAGCTGCTTTAAGTGATTTTAAATTCGTTTGTAATTCCTCTTTTCTTTTGCGCAGGCTGGGACAGGAGGTGGTGGCGGTCCCGTTTGTGCGGGTGCAGGGTTCCCTCACTATTGCCTGGGGTGACTTTTATTATATTTCAATTGTTTCTTGTTGGGATTCATCACCCCTTGTGTCATTCCCTCCTACAGTCTCAGCCCTGTAAGTCATTCCCTGTGTGTCTTTTGTTGTCCTGTTTTTGATCAAAGCCGGTTTTAGCAATATTAATTTATTTTATTTAAAATAAATCCATTGTAACTTTTGGAACCACGTCTCATGCCTCATTTAGTGGAATGAACCTATGTGCCTGCTGATACTTCCTTGGGTGAAATTCCCAAGGTGGCGTTGACAACTGTTGGCTGCTCCCTGAACAAAGTAAAAGGTTACAGTGTGTTTGGAGCACGCCGTATAGCTCACTCATATTGCCACATTCGAGTAATAGTAATTTACAATTCCTCAGAGGATGGTAGCATCGTGATCATGCGTACAAATGCTATCAATAACAATACTTGAGTAACCATACCTGAGCAGGTACTGAAATGGAGTAAGCAGTGGCGTGTCCAGATCTTTTAAAATGGGGTGGCCCAGGTGAGGCACAACTTTGTGCATGGGTGGCACCAATGGTTATGCTTTTTTTTTTTGTTTTACCCCCAAGCCTTTTGTGGACAATGAAAAAATGATTTAAAGGTAAATTAGTGTGGTGGCACCTGGGGTGGCCAATCAGGTTCCAGGGGTGGCATGTGCTACCCCAGGCCACTCCCTGGACACGCCCCTGGGAGTAAGGCAGACATTTAAAGGTTGACATTTGTGGAGCTGTGGAATTATGAGTCATTAGAATTTAGAAAAGTAAGAGACTGGCGATGTCGAGATTTTTTGGCACATCTGTTCTTCTTTGTAAGTGATGAGAAAAACCTCTTAAATTCATTGCTAAGATGGCTTAGCACTCAGCACAATGAATACGATATTTCCCCCAACAGAATTAATATGTTAATGTCTGACGAACAATGCAGGATAATCCCAGTACAAAATAGAAATGAGGGCATATTTTTAAGGAAATCCAGATTAAGTCCCACCAGAAGCGTTGATAAGACGTATAAAACAGATGTTCAAGCGTTTCGTCTTCGCTAGTAGCATTGTTCTACTTCGAAGCCAAATCTTTTAGAAATTCTGCCACTAGATAAAACTTTGTTAATGACTTTAAAATGCGTTTCCTTCACCTTGGGTAGAATGGACCATTTTGTATACTTAAAGCATTAACTGTATTGGGAGCAATCAAACTTATATCCCTTTTAGTATATTTTCTTCCAAAGTTGTGAAATGCCTTTAAAGGAATTGCTAATAAAATTATTACATTGTTTGTCCAGCAGATGGCGTCCTAGCATTTGATTTGGCAGTACTGGAGAGAGGTTGTATGTCAGGACATTTTTTATCAAATTAAGTAGAGGTAGTGGGATTAATTTACATAATTTACTATATTCTTTTTGCAAGCAATTTAAATTCTTTTAGAAGTTCTGTGTAGCTTAAGAGAACACCATTCACATCCGTAAGATCTGATACAAATACAATGTTTTATTTTATTTATTTTTTTTTTAAAATTATAGTTTCTATTGAACTTACTTTTGGGGGCTGGTACATAACAGTCTCAATAGATACTAAACATGGAGGGACAGATATAACAGTTGATTTTGGGTACAGGTCCCAATCATATAACTCCTGCAGACACGTAGTGTCGGAATAGCAGCAGTCGCATAACGTGCTTGATTTCATCCAAGGCCTTTGTCTTTATAAAGTTCCAGAATCCGAGAAGTTCCCTCTCTGTTCTCTTCCCTCAGTCTACCGAGCATACATTCATATGGTGCAGATTCGGCCATTGCACAGACCCGTTCCTTAACCTCTGGAGATGCTGCTGCTTTCCAGCGTCTTAAAATGACTCGACAGGCTGCTTAACCCCACTGAGATGATTAAAAAACACAATAAGCACCGTTCTGTAAATGGCCTGTATTTGATATAGCGCCTCCTAGAGTCCTGGAACCCCCCAAGGCGCTTTACAACACAATCAGTCATTCACCCATTCACACACACATTCACACACTGGTGGGGATGAGCTACGATGTAGCCACAGCTGCCCTGGGGCGCACTGACAGAGGCGAGGCTGCCGAGCACTGGCGCCACCGGTCCCTCCGACCACCACCAGCAGGCAACGTGGGTTAAGTGTCTTGCCCAAGGACACGACGACAGTGACAGACTGAGCGGGGCTCGAACCTGCAACCTTCCGATTGCGGGGCGAGCACTTAACTCCTGTGCCACCGTCGCCCCACCGTCTGGGTTAAAAGGGATGTCTGTTCCACACCAGTTACTTAGGATCTTGACAATACGGGTCCAGAAACATCTGATAGGAGCACATTCCCAAACACAATGCGTGAACGTCCCAGTACTCGTTTTGCATTTCCAACATGAATCGCTTCATTCTAAACAGTCTAGATGGTGTATAATAGTATGTGTGTAGCACGTTATAAGAGTTTACTCCTCACCTCTCTTACGTGTTTACCACAGTTAACAACAATTGTTTTCCATTTATCATCATCGAACATTATATGCCAAGGTCTTTCTGCCAGGTCATTTTTAACTGGTTGGAGTCATCACTGAGGAGAGAGTTAATGATTCTATAGACCTGAGAGGCTTTTTGTTTACTAGTTGGAAGTTTCATATACTCTGTTACTGTGTTGTCTTCAATATTATACGGCTGCGAGGTAACACAACTTCTCATTTGCAAGAACTTCCAAAAGTGACCCCTTCCCTCTAAGTTAAACTCCTGCACTAGTTCAGCGTGTGACAAAAACGCCCCGTCTTTAAACAAATCTCCAATAGTATTTAATCCTTTCACTTGCCACTCTTTCCAGTAAACAGGTTTCTTCCCTATGCAGACCTTGGGATTATACCATAATGGGGAATATTTCTACTGAGTATGTTTGAGATTTAACAGTCTATGGACTTTGTTCCATACATCCTTTGTAAAAGTACTGGATTAGTAATATTAGGCCTTTGTGCTAGTATCGCTGAAGGTTGAAAAGGTAAACGTATCTTTTCCTCCACCTCCATCCACCCTGGTTTATCTGTTATTGTTTGCCAATACCTTGCTATTTATGTCATCTCAAATGCTAGATAATACAATCTCAGGTCTGGCAAACCCAGCCCTCCTTTCTCCCTATGTGCGCATAATTTCCTTAAATTCAGTCTTGGTTTTTTCCCATTCCTGCTATTTCAGCTGTTAACTTTATTTTCTCTCTAAGTGTTTTTCTCCCCAGAAGAAGCTACAACGATGTTCTGCTGAGCTGTGGTGGCCTCATGGAGGGGGCCATCGGCTAGCACGCTGCTGCTAACCACTTAAACATTCTCCTTCTCCTGATAATATTTTACTTTCCTTGACGTTGGATGTGCTACTACTAGTTTACCTGTTTAATTATAGATCCACTAGGATAAATACAATAAAGTTTATCTCTTGCCAAATAGAATATTTACCAAGACATCACAACAGAACTATAGACCGGTATTTTGTGTGTGTGTGTGTGTGTGTGTGTGTGTGTGTGTGTGTGCGCCTGCTCTGTCTTCTCGATCCCCAGTGAGTCGTGGAGGATGGCTGCTTATACTGAGCCAGGATCCTCTGGAGGTTTCTTCCTGTTAAAAGGGAGTTTTCCTCTCCACTGTCGCTAAATGCTTGCTTAGTATGAGGATTGCTGTAAAATCAATGACACTAGTCAGTGTCTCGATGCAATTTGCTGGGTTCCTTATATAGGACACATTAATTCTGATTGGCTTAATGAACTGTGAATTGGAATGTTTATTATGTGAAGTGCCTTGAGACGACTCTTGCCGTGATTTGGCGCTTTATAAATAAACTTGAATTGAATTGAATAGAGCTGTCTTTAGTTGGCGCAAAATATCTTTGGTTGTACACCTGCGCAAAAGCAATAAATGATCTTGAATCTGTCATGATCCTGTTCCTGCCGTGACCTGTTGCCACAGCAACCTCAGCTCCATTCATTCCACCTGTTGCTGTCATCAACTCATCCTCCACACCTGTTTCCTCTACTATTTAAACCCTAGCCTGCCCTTCAACCATCGCCAGATTATTGAACGCCCTGCCTGTTACTCCCCTTGTCTTCGAAGATCCTGCACATGCGCCGTCCCCGACTTCTCCTTTTGGATTTCCCTATCGGACCATTCCCACCTCAGACCTCCTGTCTCCTGACCTAGCCTCTGCCTCTTCCCTTTTAAGAAACATTCTTAAACTTGTCATTCTGTGTTGGGTGTCTTTACGGGTCCGCCGGTTAGCTCATGACAGAATCTTGATTCCTGTTAAATGTACTTCCTGAATGAGTGACCTTTTCAGGCTAAAATAACAAAATGACAAATACAGACAGAAGGACAACTTTCTTTTTTTAATGCGTTGCATCACCACCTGGTATCAGAACAGAACTCCGTATTGGAAGATAATCAAAAATCAAACAACTTGGACTCAGATCAGGGGCAAAAATGTGGTTCAGCTTTAAAAACTAAAACTATTATTTATGAACTAACATTAACACTAATGACACTAATTTATATATTTTTATTATGTTGTTTGACCCCAAGGGGCTCATTATCTGAATTTTCTAACTTGTTGGATTGCTCTATAAGTGCCCCTTTTTTTTTACTTTGAGCACCCGTCGCGTCAAAGGTCTCTGCACGGCCCTGCACCGTAGTGTAAAGCGCTTTGGAGTCCTTACTCTGAGAGGCGCTTTACAAGTGCGGGTCATTTATCATAAGAGAAATATGATGTGAAAATCTCTTTACCTGCCAAGTTTCGTCTCCTGATACCTTCTTCATGGGCTGTTCCAAATCCGGATCTAACCTGGAGCTCATCATGTGAGAGTGGCGCGCACGTGTGTGTGTGTGTGTGTGTGTGTGTGTGTGTGTGTGTGTATTTACAGCTGTTTTTTTATAGGCAATTTGGGGACACGTTGAAGTCGTGCTGAAATGCCGGACTTCCACCCGGACCCTGAACGCACCACTGGAGTTTACTGTTTCCATGGCAACATCCGCGGCTCTCCCACCGGTCGGACCCGGTTCTGGTTAACTTAACTACTGAATCTCGATGGACCCGGACCGGGCCTCGGTGGCCTACGGCCGGCGGGCCGTTCCCCAGCTGTTTGAACAGCTGCAGCAACCGGAGACTTCCGGCAGACTGCGGGCTCTGACGTCACTCTGTGACCTGGTCCACGAGCCGGAGCGGTTCTACCAGACCATTACCGGAGGTAAACCCGAACCACAACAGACCCGGTCGGTTATTCATGTGTGAGAATCGCGCTGCGTAACCATAGCAACCTGGAGCACAGGCGGATCCGCTCCAGGTGAACTTCAGAAAGATGAAACTCTTTTCAGATCAAATTATTTTATAAGAAATGTTCAAAATTCTTTGGCTCATTAATAAAGTTTATTCAGCCCATAATGTTTATTTATAAAGTAAATACATTATAGATTATAAGAGCAAATGAAACGGGTCAGAACTCTGATCGGGACATGAGATTAACTTAGATCACATTTTAAATCTACACAGGAAAACCCTTAAATCCATATTAATAATAACAATGAAACCATAGATAGGCTATGTAAATACTGACTTATCATTATAATTTTATTTATATCACATCAGTTGAACAATCGATCTTTTGGGAATTCTTCTCAGACAAACGTGTTTGATCACATTTCTTTATTAAACAATTCTGATGAGTTAATAAAAATAACTCTTTGAATTTGCTTTTATTTTATTTTCATTGTGATTCAGAAACCAAATAAACTCATAAAAATAAGTTTATCATTGTTAAAGCTGATAAATCATCCAGAATTATTAAATCATTTATTTTATTTTCTATAAGCTCCAGCAGCTCAAATCTGAGTAAAACCATCTTTAACAGAAATGATTTTAACGTTTTTATTTGGTCGCTCGTGCCAGTATTTAAACATTTACACATTTTGTTGTGACATTTATTTTTCATGGCTGAATGAGAACTAAGAAGCCTTTGATACCAGATATTAACAGAATGAATAAACAGCTCCAGCTTCTTCTTCTTCTGCAGGATTTCTGGAGCAGCTGAAGGTTTTATTAGAAGATCAGGATCCATCAGTGAGAACAAAGACCTGCGAGCTGCTTTACCTGCTGACGACCCGCAGCCTGGGCAGGTAAGTCCTTAGGGCCCGGTCCACTGTTGGTTCTTATCACGGCTGCGATGTTTGAGACAGAAACTCGTCCATCAGAACCACAAACTGCTGGGTCACAAAGGTCAAGAAGGCTAAACCAGGGACAGAAATCAGAGACATGAAAAAACAACAAAAACTAAACAAAAAAACTCCTGAAGAATAATAACGTAATCCAAAATGATGTCAGAAAAAATTGGGATAAACGTTTGACGAGAAAATTACTAAAAAGATAAAACATTTCATCTACAAAATAACTGCTACATTAATTTAAAAAACTAAATCATAAAAAAGCTGAAAGCTTTTTGTTCAGTGTTGCCAGTTTTTTAAGTGCTTTATATATGAAGTTGGCTTTCCTTAAAGTTTATTAATACAGATAAATAAATCCTAATGCTATATAGAATATTATAGTCACTAGACAATAAAGTGTGTGTGTGTGTGTGTGTGTGTGTGTGTGTGTGTGTGTGTGTGTGTGTGTGTGTGTGTGTGTGTGTGTGTGTGTGTGTGTTGAATACAATTCAATACCCAGTTTGACTGAAGCTGTTTGTTGTTGTGGAACCAGGATCTCACCAGCAGGGGGCAGCACTCACACACCACTGGTCACACCTGAACTCACCTGTTTGACCTGGAGCATCAAGACTCCCATTTAGGAGCTGATTTTATTGGATAATCATGTTTTAAAGATTTTTCTCTCCTGATCTCCAGAAAAATAGGTCACAACTAAAGTAAACTAAACTATGTGACCTTTAACCTCGGGGAGTTTTGTTATATAAGTTCAGTTTGAGGTTCCAGAAATCAATCCTCATCTATTTGGTCCTGCAGACTGTTCCTGATCTCCTCCTCTCTCCTCCCTCCTCTCTGGGAGCTGCTGGATGACTCCTCGTCCTCCTGCAGGAGAAACGTCTACCTGGTTCTGACCCAGCTGGCTGAGCTTCCTGCAGGTAAATCAACAACAACCAGAAATTTAAGAAGCTAGCTGAGCTGCAGAAGGAGCTGCTGAGGAGGTCCAATCAGGTTCTTAGAACTGTTGCTATAGTTTGGGTCTGAACCTGAACCCAAAATTGCTGATTCAGCATAAATGTCCACAGGAGCAGACGTCCTCCACACACTGGTCCCCAGACTGATGCTGAAGCTCCAAGAGGAGGAGGAAGAGGAGGAGGACGAGAAAGTGCTACTCCTCTCCATCCTCAGCAGCTGCTCCAGAGTTGACCCTCTGCCGACTCTGTCTTTGAACGGAGTTCATCTCATGGGTCAGAGACTGTCCCACCACTCCCTGGACATCCGCAGGGAGGCGTGTGCAGTGCTGCTGGAGCTCAGGTTCAGCTGTGTGTGTGTGTGTGTGTGTGTGTGTGTGTGTGTGTGTGTGTGTGTGTGTGTGTTTGACTCTGTCTCCTGCTGGTTTCAGCGTACCTGAGGACGGGAAGCGACAGGTGTGTGACCAGCAGCTCCTACCTGTCCTGGTGTCTCTGCTGCAGGACGAAGACGTGGAGCTCCAGACCAACGCAGCAGGAGTCATCATGAATGTTGTGATCCTCACCTCAGGTGTCTGGTCTCCGTCAAAGAGACCCCGACCCAAGTCCTCAAGGGCCGATATCGATTTTTATAACCAACAGACTTGATTTAGTTTCTGATCTGTTTGAAGATTCTGGCCAACTTAAAGAACCCAGCTACTCCAGAGCGAACTCACTTTGCTGTCATGATGTCATACATGTCAGCTATGACATGTATGACATCACTGCAGAGTCTCTTCTTCCCCAGCGTAGCTGCTACTTAACACACGGCCAGATTTATAGTGACTTTCTCCACATTTGATGCTCCTCCTGTCATCCTGGAAGAAGGATGTGACGCTCGCTAAACTCGGACAGTTTTCTTCCTCTTCACCGCGTCGGGTTTGCTGACGAGCAGTAACAGTCCTCTACGTGTTTTTACACTAAACCTGAAATGAGTTTTCCTGCCTGTCGAAAATAAGCACTTCCTCAAACAGCAAATGTGGGTGGAGTGAGACTCTGGTAGGGGGGTGACTTGTTCTTTAATGTTTAGTGACGGTGAGTTCACAGGCAGGAAAAATGTTGGATTTTTCTTGCTGTTTGGCAACGATGTATTCATGGGCTAAAACAAAAATAGATTTCTGAGATCTGGATTGGTTGATCGCCCCGGCTGTCGGCCGATTCTGATCACCAGCTGAGCTTTTGATTGAGAACATTTTAGATTTTAAAAAGCTGCTCCGGGTAAGCGGGGACACAAGTGAAAAATAGACGTTTCCAGAATCTTTTACGAGTTCTAAAGGACTTGAGCTGAAGAGTGGGTCGGTTCTGATGTGAAACAACTTTAGCCCAAAACCTGCAAAGACTTGAGCCAAGCTGCATCAACTGACCTTAAGCTCCTCCCCCTGCAGGTAAACATCTGATTCTGGGGCTGAAGGTCCTCCCCATCCTCCTGGAGCTGCTGAGCCAGGAGGAGGAGGAGGAGGAGAGGAGGGGGAGGAAGGCTCTGATCCTCTACTGCCTACAGACCTTGGCCTCTCTGGCTGAAGCTCCGAGCGGACGCAGAGTCCTGCTGGAGCAGCTCCCCCTGCTGGAGCGGAGGAGTCGGGACCAGGACCAGGACATCCAGAGGGTCGCTCAGACCACCATCAGGGTCGTGACCTGGACTCCCTGACCTCTGACCCCCGGGGTTAAAATCAGCTGGATACATGATTAATATTCTTAGTTTAGCTTTTTCTTTAAAATTTGGTTTAAAATGTTTTGGGAGTTTTTAACGTTAAACATGAAAACTAAGATTTAATCATAAAAACATAATAAAGTTATTAAATGTTCAAGTTTCCTTTGTAACTCTTTATTATTATTTATCTCATGAGCATTCATCCTCTCAGAACAAATATCCCCTTTTTTCTGTTAGTCTAACAGCTTTATTAAGTTTAAATCAGCAGATTTGATGCAGAAGAATCCATCTGACGCTTCAGATTCAAAGTTTATTGTTTCATTAAAAGTCGGAAAAGAAATAATTGGCTTTTACTAAGTTTTTTGTTTGTTTATTTGTTGTCGCGTGTGCATAAAGAACTTCTGGGTCTCTGACTTGCTGTTGAATCTAAATGTGATGGATGATGGCCTTATAGATATTTTAATTAAAGTAGGAAATGTTTTTCTGGAGCCCTTTCTGCCGTGTTGCTTGTACTCCTTACATAACGATAGCGACTTATACATTAGAACGTGTTGTTGAAATTGAATAATATTTAAATGCATCTGAAATCCTGGGAAAACCTCATCCTGTCATTGTGAACGTCCTGCTCTGAATGACTGGATCCGGATCCATCCGTCTATCTTAAAACCATCCTTTATCTATTATTCTGCTTGTGACGCGCCGTGTGGTTTTTATGTTGAAAGACGCTGTAAAAAAATCTCTTTTCTTCTCCGAGTCCTGAGTTTGTCTCTGACCTGCTGCTCTGAATGAATTTGCTCACGCACACACACACACACACACACACACTGGATTAGCTTGGACAAAGGATAAATCTCTGACCTGTGAAGGTTTAGGAGGGACATTTAAGTGTTTTAACATTTTGTTGATTTTACTTCAACACATAAAATCAGTTATAATATAATATAATATAATATAACATAATATAATATAATATAATATAATATAATATAATATAATGTAATATAATAATATAATATAATATAATATAATATAATATAATGTAATATAATAATATAATATAATATAATATAATATAATATAATGTAATATAATATAATATAATATATGTAATATAATATAATATAATGTAATATAATATAATGTAATATAATATAATATAATATAATATAATATAATATAATATAATATATGTTGGATGTGTGTAGATATCTGCCTGTGACCTGAGAATGTTCTTTATATAACACCGTAAGTTAGACTGTCCCCCCCCACCCTACACACACACACACACACACACACACACACACAGTCCGATAACTAAAGACTAAAACTAATATTTTTGTCAGATAATGACATCATACAGGTGAACAACAGCGTCACACATACACACACACACACACACACACACACACACACACACACACACACACACACACACACACACACACACACACACACACACACACCGCTACACATCAGTCCGGAGGGGCGGGGGTTACCGACGCCGTGAGCGCATGCACGCGCGCGTGCCGTTTATGTGGGAGTGAACGCGGAGAGCAGCAGTCGGCGAGGAGAGGAGCTGCTGGATGTTTCTCACGAACACCGAGACCGAGCAGGTGAGACTCACCTTCACGCCTCCTCTTTGCGCGCGCTCACGCGCGTCTGTTTTTGTGCGCGAATAAGTTCAGAACTGATCTGGAATCTGCGTGGGCCTCCGACCCATTCCCGGTTCTGGAGCCCGGTACCGGTCTGCGGGTCCGACCGGCGTTTTCGGTCAGGTACGAGATGAAATTATGTAAGAAGCTGCTGGATGAGGGGGTGGATTAGAGAGGGAGGATGGTTTTATGTAACACACACACACACACACACACACACACACACACACACACACACACACACACACACACACACACACACACACACACACACGTTTATTATATTTTATTCATATTTTTCTCCTTTTCTCGTCTTTCTGTCTCTGGTGGTTCTGGTTCTGGTTCTGACTCAGATGCTGGTGAGCCATCAGATCCTGGAGCTTCTGTAGTGGTTCTGTTCAGCTGCTGTTGTTGTTTTGGACCTTCTGGTAAAGTCAGAATGTAGAAACTGTTCTGTGTTTAGCTGACTGGGCCTTTTCCAGTCCTCCCAGTCAGAAACCAGTAAATGGTCCTGACTGGTTTCAGAGCGATCACACCTGGGCCTGAAGGGTTCTGGACCAGAACTGGTCTGTTCCTACAACTTGGAGCCCAGAATTCACCTTTAATCTTATTTATCTGAGTGTTTCGATCCGCTGGATGAATAAACACGTCAAATCTGATTTTATCAATAAAGTTTTTTACTTCAAAGCTTCGATAAAAAAAGAGTTGTAGTCCTTTAAACTACGAGTGTAGTTTGCTGCAGGTTAATAGACGACAGCTTCTGCTGGGAGGGAGTGAAAAGGCATCGCCATGGAAACAGCAGGAAAACAGCTGATTGGTTTTGTGATGTCCGACTCCATCCTGGTGCTCTGAGGTTCTCCTCTGGACCATCCGAATGTCCGACGCTCAGAAGGGTCCCTCAAACCTTCTGTCAGAATTAATTTATCAGGTTTATTTATTTAACAACAAACGGATTCATTTAATCTCCGATAATCTGGTGGAAATATTTATTTATATTTAGTGAAAAAATCTCTTTAGTGATAATTGATCGTCCTGAGATTAAAAAAACACTCCAGAGGAACAGATTTAGAGCTGAGGTGGGATCACACGGATAAATCATCAGTCAGCCGAGGGGATGGTGGCCATTTACGGCGTTTTATTACTTTTGTCAACAGCAAGAAAAATTCTTTAGGCCCTTTTCATCCATCTGTCTGACTGGATCTAAACCATTTGACCTTTGACCTGTGGGTCGCTTTGGAAGAACACATTTTAGTCCGGATGTCTTGTTGAAGCTCAGGATCATAAAAAGTGATCTGGCGATAGTCTACGTTGTTTTTCTGACAGCAGGTCACGACCCAGAGGCAGTTCTTCTAAAACGTTTAAATCTCTGAGAAATGAATTCAGCGCCAACGTGAGAAGTCCTCAACGTTTTACGGATTTATAAAATCTTCATCTTCATCTTCATCGTGAAGTCAGGCGGGATGATCTGGGCTTGTTTTCCTCCCCAAACTCCGAGTTTTACTCCTGAGTCCGAGGAAGGGGAAAAGGCATCACGGTGGGGAGACACGACAAAGGAAGAGGTGGAGGACAAGCGTCCCGTAGAGATCAGAGTCTGGTCAGAGAAACGGCGCTGTTGCATCACTTCCTGTTAGAACACGAACGCTCGGGAGCTCCTGGATCTGCTCCTCCAGGCTCCTCCTGGTCAGGAGGTGGTCCCGGCTGATCCTGGACCTGTTCAGTCCGCAGAACTCTGGTTCTGGTTCTGATTCCTTTTGTAACCTGATGGATTTTAATCTTAAAACAACAGAATCAGGTTTTCATTTTGACAGGATGTACAGAACAACCTTCACACTATGAAACCGAACCGAACAGGTTCTAGTCCGTGGCTCAGCCCGTCGTGGTGCGTTCAGGCGTTTGTGTTTATCTCCACACGCCTCCGACTCTTCCTGTCGTTTAGTTTTAACCAAAGATTTAAACAAACGCTGCAGTTTTCAGTCTGTTTACTCAGATTTAACCACAGCAGAACCCCTCAGACTGGGTCGGGTCAGAATCACCATTATTAATTCTCAGGACTTCATCAGATTGCATGTTTCAAACTGATAAATAACAATAATAATGTTTACTTTAAATAATTATGAGTCTCTTTATGTAAAAACTCTGAGCTGCTTTGATGTTTGGACCTTCAGAACCTGTAACAGAACCCATGATGGTCCTGTGACCACATCCTGCACCAGAGTAAACCCAAACAGGGCACTCTGTAATTGGACGGTCCCTGAATGTCTCACGGTGAGCGCTCTCCTCTATTTCTGGAAGCATGACTCATCGTTTCTTCTGTTATAAAACCCAAACTTCTCTCTGCTGAGACCCGACTGCAGCAGAATCTGGTTCCGGTTGTGATGCCGTGGTTCTGGGTCGGTCTGGCCCAGTTTGGTTCTGTCTGGTCCAAACCGGTGAGAGTCATGTCCTGGGTCAGCACTCCAGATTACTTCAGGATCAGCTGATATTTTCTGTTTTGCTTCTTGTTTAAAAATAATTCAGAATAAATTATGATCAGCTGTTCAGTTTTAATCAGATTAAGTTCCTTTAATAAATTAAAGTTTATTTAAACATCATTTATAGTCGTGATTATTTTCTAGATGATTTATTTCTTGTTTCTTTATTATTGAAGAGTTTAAAATTTCAGCTCAGTCTGTTTAATTAAAGAGTTTTTAGAAACTAAGTCTAGTTAAAAGTGTTGCTTCAGTCTGTCTGATGGGCCGAAAGGAGACGAGTTTAAAAGGATGAGACGGGTTTTAGTCAGAACCAGTTTTCTCTTCTGGCTTCGAAACAGCAGCATGCTCTTACGTCGAGTCGGGAGGCAGTGGCTCTTATCTCTGAGCACACAACGGGGGGTTGGGGGGCTGTGTGTGTGTGCATGTGTGTGTGTGTGTGTGTGTGTGGGGGGGGGGGGGGCGTGTGTGTGTGTGTGTGCATGTGTGTGTGTGTGTGGGGGGGGGGGGCGTGTGTGTGTGTGTGTGCATGTGTGTGTGTGTGTTTTTTTGTGTGTGCATGTGTGTGTGGGGGGGGGAGGGGCTGTGTGTGCATGTGTGTGTGTGTGTGTGTGTGTGCGTGTGTGCATGTGTGTGTGTGGGGGGGCTGTGTGTGTGTGTGCATGTGTGTGTGTGTGTGTGTGTGTGTGTGCGTGCGTGCGTGCATGTGTGTGGGGGTGGCTGTATGTGTGTGCATGTGTGTGTGTGTGTGTGGGGCTGTATGTGTGTGCATGTGTGTGTGTGCATGTGTGTGTGTGGGGGGGGCTGTGTGTGTGTGCATGTGTGTGTGTGTGTGCGTGTGTGTGGGGGGGTTGGCTGTATGTGTGCATGTGTGTGTGTGTGTGTGTGCATGCATGCATGTGTGTGTGTGTATGGGGGGCTGTTTGTGTGTGCATGTGTGTGTGTGTGCGTACGTGCGTGCATGTGTGTGTGTGTGGGGTGCTGTGTGTGTACGTGTGTGTGTGAGTACGTGCGTGCATGTGTGTGTGTGTGGGGTGCTGTGTGTGTACGTGTGTGTGTGTGTGTGTGCGTGCATGTTTGTGTGTGGGGGGGCTGTGTGTGCATGTGTGTGTGTGTGGGGGGGTGGCTGTATGTGTGCGTGTGTGTGTGTGAGTGTGCGTGTATGTGTGTGTTTGTGTGTGTGTGTGTGTGTGGGGGGGTGGCTGTATGTGTGTGTGTGTGTGTGTGAGTGTGCGTGTATGTGTGTGTTTGTGTGTGTGTGTGTGTGTGGGGGGGGGTGAGAACGAGGCCCCAGGCGACATGAGAGGCTCTGGTCATTTTGGCTCCTTCAGCGCTGGAATGTTAAGTTGTGGATGTGACGGATGGAAGAGCAACACCTCCTCTCATTTGACCTTTGACCTCTGGGTTCATCTCAGATCACCTTCAGTCACAGAAACTGGATCTGATTGTTTAATCTGAACTAAAACCGCGGGAATGTGGAAGGGAGCAATGAGTCATTTAGGATGGGGCTTTATCTTATTTTTTATTTAAATTATAAAGATGTGAAAAAAATGAAGGTCAGCAGAAAGGAACAGAGGATTTATGGAAGGAGAGGAGATGGTTTCTGTTATCTGTTCATCTGTTTTCATCCTGTTGTCATGGCAACAGCTGGACAGGGATGGAGGAGGAATTAAACACTGATGATGCTGCGTACATTAATTTAACACAAAAAACAAGTTTTTCTACAAAAGAGTGAAAATGATCATGTGGTCCTCCTCCAGCTGGAGCCTTATGGTCAAAAGTGTTTAAAGTTAATAAACCAAACATTTAATTATTTCAGATTAAAATAATTGTCAAGGAAAATCCTTCCAGATGAAAACGAGTTTAAACTGAAAGATCAACAACAGCAAAGGTTCGACTTTCTGGGTGTGGTCGCACCGCTGTGAGCCCAGATAAGAGGAATCAGCGCACGCGCACACACACACACACACACACACACACACACACACACACACACACACACACACACACACACACGCTTCAAGAAAAATTTCTTTTTTGTGACCAGTCGGCTGTCTCCTTGTGGCCCCGCCCATTTTGCAAACCAACCCTTGTTCAAAGAAATAATCAGACTAACAAAATGTTTTGATTGTGAACCAAATAATTTAAAAATAAAATAATTACAGCAAATATAAAATTTACATTTTTTATTTCATTTCATGCAAGCAATCAAATAAAATTTACATTAAAACAATTCATGTTCACAAATAATCGTGAATGAAACGGAGCAGAAAGAAGCAAAAACTTATAACATCTGCCCCCCCAGACACCTAACCCCACCACCCAACGCAAACACGTCCATCAGCCGTCTTAAGGTCTAAACATTTCATCAAGATACATTTGACACTTTTTTTAAATGCAGAAAATAATTTATTAATAATAATAATAATAATAATACATCGAACTTATATAGCGCTTGTTTAGGACATGCAAAAACGCTCGCATGCACTCTCACATTCACACACTGCTAGTGATGGTGAGCTACTTTGTAGCCACAGCCGCCCTGGGGCAGTCTGACAGAGGCGAGGCTGCCATTTGGCGCCGTCGGCCCCTCTGACCACCACCAGCACAGGCAAGTTGGGTGAAGTGTCTTGCCCAAGGACACAACAGCAGGATACCCCTGGCAGGAGCTGGAATCGAACCCATGACCCTCTGATCATGAGGCAACCCGCTCTACCTCCTGAGCTACTGCTGCATTTAGATTGTTTTATTTCATTGTGGAGACTGTCATGGTCTGCGTCTGCGTCTTTCCTCATGTGTCTCCTTGTGTTCCTCATGTGTCCCCCCCCCCCCCCCCCCCCCCCAGGTATCCCCCTCCAGGTCCTGTGCTCCCGTGGTCCCCCTTAGTCACGCCCCTGTAGTTTTTCTTTCTGTAGTGTTTTCCTTTAGTTTCATCTGTTCATCTATTAGTCTCTTTTAGTGTGTTTCTTTCCCCCCACCGGTTCTTTAGTTCTCCTTCCTCAGATTATTAGTTATTTTGCTCTTCTTCTTTTTAGGTTTTGTCTTTAATCTTAGGTCATGTTATTTGTCTTCCTCTTCAACTCACTGCCCTCTCCCTGATTAGTAAATGGCCTGTATTTGATATAGCGCCTTCTAGAGTCCTAGAACCCTCCAAGGCGCTTTACAACACAACCAGTCATTCACCCATTCACACACACATTCACACGCTGGTGGGGATGAGCTACGATGTAGCCACAGCAGCCCTATTAGTAATTGAGTTCACCTGATTTCTCTCCCCACACACCTGCAGCTCATCTCCTTCTCATCCTCCGCAGTATATAAAACCCTGTCTGTGTCTTAGTGTGTTGTCGGTTCATTGTTCGTGTCAGTCTCGTCTTGTTTGCTCCCTAGCTTCTAGTGTCTCTAGCTCTCTAGTGTTTTTGGGTCTCTAGTTTTAGTCATTTGGATTTTTGGTTTTTGGCTCTCTGCCTTCTTGGAATACTCCTAAATAATGGATTTTTATTTCATCTTCCGCCTCCTGCCTCATTTATCTGGTATCTGCATCTTGGGTCCTAAACATCCTCCTAAACCAACTCGTGACAGAGACTATTCCATAAACAGACACCTTTAACTGAAATACATCTTTCCATTATCGCTGTTCGGAAACTTGTTTTTTTTTTAAATATAAATTCCTTTATGTGTTTTGCGGGTACTTCTCTGTACTTCCATACGATGTGTCACATGTGGAAGAATTAACAAGTTATACAGAATATAAAAAGCTTTTTTCTTCAACAATGCCTTCGTCTTATTTAGTACTGCAATAATTCAAGATAATTTAATCTTAATAGCGTTTATGCGAGACTTCCACAATAAACACTCACTGTAATCAATCATTACACCTAAAAACTTCACTTCCTTTACTCTCATTTCCTTCAACATATACGCACCAGCTCCTTTTTTTACTTCTACAAAAACTATAAACTTGGTAAAATCCTTATTAAATGTGTTCATTTTAGTTGTATCTCCATCTGAGTCCAGATCCAGGTTTTAATCCTGACTGAACACCAAACAGATTCTGATCCTTTCATGGTTCTTCCAGGAAAGCATGGTTCGTTTAGGTGACCCAGTTCTAGCTGATGCTTGTGGTCTCTGCTGATCTTTTCTGGTTGAAAGTCTTCAAATCAGGATGTTGGGTAGGAAAATATTTTCAAAATAAAAGTTGAAAAAGGAGCTGATCATCAACAGAAAGACTTTCCTTTTCACTTCAGGCTGAATCATGGAGTTATTTCATTTGCAGCGCGGCAGCTGTTTGATGACTCAGCAAACCATGACTCAGCAGGTTCTGGACTGACCCAGTTTCAGCCTCCAACATCTTACTGCATCACGACTCTGCAGAAACCGCAGAGACACAAACCGTGTTGTTGTCAGCATCAGTGATCTGATGGGGGGGGGGGGGGGTAGTTAATAGATCAACCAGACTGGTTTTATGGTTAATGAAGAGAAAGAAGAAGAAAGTATCATTTTTGAGCGCCTCTCAAGAAAAAAATCACCTCTCAAGCGCCTCTCAAGATAAAAATCACGAGGCGCTTCACAAAAACAAAAAATGTAAAAATATAAAAAATAATTTAGAAAATGTTTAAAAATATATTTAAAATGAGCAAAAAATAGACAATTGTGATTAAAAATGTAAAGTAAGAGAGAGAGTGAACAGGAAAGAGGGAAATCAGTGGATCCTGAGGAAGGTGGAATAGGTGGGGAGAGCAGAATAAAGAGAGAGAGGTGAAGAAGGTCACACAAAAGCCAGCTTGAACAAGTGAGTCTTCAGCTGCTTTTTAAAGGAGACCACTGAGTCCACTGATCTCAGGCTCAGGGGGAGAGAGCTCCAGAGTCTGGGGGCCACAGCAGCAAATGATCTGTTACCTTTGACCTTTAGCCTGGTGCTGCACAACCAGTAGGCTTTGATCACTGGACCTCAGGGACCTGCTGGGGGTGTAGGGACTAAGAAGATCACCAATGTAAGATGGTGCTTGTCCATGTAAGGCCCTATAGACCAGAACCAGGATCTTGAAATGAACCCTGAAGTTGACTGGCAGCCAGTGAAGCTGGAGGAGAAGCGGGGTGATGTGGGTGTGTTTGGAAAACAAGAAGAAACATCTTCTCAGTGGCCTAGTGGTAATGTCCAACCTGGGATTGGGAGATCGGGGTTCAAATCCGGGTCGGGTCTTACCAAAGACTGTAAAAATGGGACCCAACACCTCCCTGCTTGACACTCAGCTGTAAGCGGTTGGATTGGGGGGTTAACCCACCACAGCTTCAGCGCACCGCTCCCCACGGGGAAGGGTCAGATGTGGAGATGGATGTCACCAGTGTGTGATGACCATGAGACTTTAAATATCTGAGCACCAGTTTATGCTATAAGAGTCCACCTGATTTCCTCGTAGATGAAAGTCTTTATTCAGGTAACCGGAGGTCTCGGACACGCCTGCCTGAAGTGACTCGAACCGTTAATCTGTGGCAGATTTTTAAGTAGTTTCATTTTTATTTTCTCTGGTAAATTCGTTCTTCAGAAATCTTTCCTCTCGTACCTCAGACTCAGATTTGAATCAGGGACTGATGTCAGAACAAGGGTTTATCTTAATGAGACACGTGACCTTTGACCTCTCATCACTCCCTGAAAGCAGCACCGACCCAAAGTTTGGTTCTGAATCAGACTGGAGGTCTGTGAGTTCTCAGGATCCGTGTTTGTTTGCAGGAAGTCGGTGACCGGCACTAAAGACCGCCTTGGAGATGCTAACCAGATAATTTATGAGTCCACGTCCAACAAAGAGACTCTTTACTCTTTAGGACATAAAAGCATCTCAGATTAAATGTTTTCACTCGACGGAGAATCATTCACATTCACGAGACGATGCAGGAATCTGATTCGCTGAGATGATTTTATATTAAATCCTCTGGGTCTGAATCTCCATCTTCCTCATAAACCAGGAGGCTCTGCTGGGGAGGTTTCATTTAAGATGTGGGGTGTGGCAGCCGGGTGGGGTTTACCTGCTGCCATGACCTCAGCAGTGTGTTGGTGTCCGGGTGGTCCGATGGTGGGAGGTCTGTTGTCTCTTTAGTGTCCCGCCCACATTTCTGCCAGCTGATTGGACAGCAGGCTGCAGTAACCTAGCAACCCTCAGATGTCTCCCATCATTCCTCCGAGTCCTCTCTGGTTCCGGAGGACTGGGAGGCAGATCTGCTGATCGAAGCTTCGGCATCAAACAAACTCCCACTCGGCCAGCAGGAAAACATCCTCATGTATGTGAGATAAATGTGCAGCTGATGATGTACCGTTACCTTGGTTACCCAAGAGATGATGCTCACTGCAGGAGGATTTAGGAAGGAAAGCGGTCTGCGGTGAGTTTGGATGAGCCAGAGTCTCTGATTCAGGTTGTTTCTGAGTCCATTTAATCCTCAAATCATCGCTTAGCAACAGAGTCGACTTCCTGGAGATAAAATCCCGATTCTTAATGTAGAAACAGATGAGTAAAAACCAGGAGGACGGATCCGTACGGGTTCAGAGATCCAGATCCGTAGGTTCTGATTTACCTGAATATGTCTGTTTGTCTTCTTTTAGGAAACGTTTGATCTGACCTTTGACCTTCAGCTTCATTCTCAACATGTAAGTTTGTTTAATAGGTGAGTTTACTTCTTTGAAACCGGCTCGCTGCAGCTGAGCGATTCTGTCTGAGGTCATGTGACCGACACCTGATCTGATTATTGATCCGGTTGATGCTCATTTGTTCTGTTGGCATGAAGAGCCGAGGAACAGAAGAAATGATGAACGGTGGAATTAGAGGTCACTGATTTAGTTAACGGGAGTTTTATTTTGTTAAGTTTACAATTTCCTCTTTGTTATTATTATTATTATTATTATTATTATTATTATTATTATTATTATTATTGTTATTATGAGGTCTAGTTTCAAATATTGTAAAACCTATAAAAATATTATTTAAATAATAGTTTGAATGAGTTTAAATAATTAGTTTATCATTGACATGGGCATGATGAAAGTTAAAAAGATAATTAACTAATTGAATTAATTATTTTTCTAAAGCAACCCAAGAAAGCTGGTTTTCCAAAAAATAAAAATAAAAAAGGGGTTAAAAAAAATAAATTCTTAATATAATTGC